TAGATCTACAGGCCTGACAGATTTAGGCTCAATCTCCCCCCCCCCCCAATTATATTTCATTAGGAGTTACATGCCTAGTTGTTTCATTTTGTGATGTTAACAGTCATCAATGATCATTGCTAGATTCATTAATTCATTAAGGACTACAAAATGGTGATATTCTGAATCTAGCATATTGATTGATATAGATATATCAATCAATATGCAATATAGATATAGATATAGATATTGATTTCAGAAAGGAAGGGAGAGGGACAGAGAGAGAGAAACATCAGTGATGAGAGAGAATCATTGATCGGCTGTCTCCTGCACACCCCCTCCTGGGGATCGATCCCACAACCTGTGCATGTACCCTGACCAGGAATCAAACGGTGACCTCCTGGCTCATAGGTCAATGTTCAACCACTGAGCCACACTGGCTGGACCCCTCTGCAAAGAGAACATACCCTTATCAACTACTTGCTTACCTCTAGTGCAAGTTTATTCAAGTAAAATAGGATATATAGCCGAAACCGGTTTGGCTCAGTGGTAGAGCGTCAGTCTGCGGACTGAAGGGTCCCAGGTTCGATTCCGGTCAAGGGCATGTACATTGGTTGCAGGCACATCCCCGGTAGGGGGTGTGCAAAAGGCAGCTGGTCGATGTTTCTCTCTCATTGACATTTCTAGCTCTCTATCTCTCTCCCTTCCTTTCTGTAAAAAAAAAAAAAAAAAAAAAAAATAGGATATATATGTTTCATTCTCCCCCTTTAATTACTATTTTACAAAAATGCGTTTGTCTCCAAGCATCTTCCAAAGGTGGCCAATGAGGCTGTTTTCCTTGTTTGGTTTATAAGTGAGGACTGTACTGGGTTGAATAGTGTTCTGGAAAAGTGTCTTTCAATACATACTTTTGTCCCCTTTCTCCTTTCACTGAGAACGACCCCACGCTAGTAAGTGACCTCAATCTGTTGAAATAATGCACCAGGCGCCTGGAAAGATCCCTTGGGTGGGAGCCTGGAAACTTGCATTTTCTCAGCATGGAAGCTGAGCTCACCTGTTCAAATCCACCCACCCTGCCAAGCCTCCACGGGGGTGAGCACAGGAACAGAAATGATTTCTGACCAACATTGTGCATCCCTGTGTCCATCCTCCCTTCCAGCATCATCATCCCGTTGCCTCATTCTTCGGGTTGCTTGTGGTCCATAGTGAAAGATTGCTAATTATAATGATGATTGATGGTTTCATTAAAGGTGCATTCGAAGGGCTTCAGGGTTCCGCTTAGGAAAATGGCGACCACTTCCCGCGCGCCCTCTCTCCACCTGGGACCGTGCGGGATGCTGGGCAGACCTGCTCTCCTTTGTTTCTCACAGAGACTCTGCAGGATGGGACTCCGGCCCTCACTTACAGACCAGCTGAGAAGCTCAGGAACTGGAACCTGGCTCCCCTGTGCTTTTCTTACCAGGTTCACCTGGAAGGAAAAAGGCTTTTCATTCATTCTTTCATTCATTCATTCCTTTTTCTGCTCTGATCACAGAAGGGACGATTGTTGACAGATTCCCCGGATCCTGATGGTCAAAGGTGAATGAATTTCCCTATTTGCCTCAACCTCTTTTCTCCTTCCTGTAGGAAAACACTCTTCACACGGACTTATAATTAGTTCTGCCCGTTAGTTTTTCAAACCATATAATTAGCAGGTCTTCCCACAGATGCCAGGAAGTTGAGGGGCTGAGTTCAAGGCTATCTGAAGCGGCCAGCGGATTCACCAACCTACTCGGTGGCTCGGAACTAGTTAACCTGGATAGGTATATATTAAGCCGGAAGTCTTGTTCCCTTTCCTTTGCACTCTCTTTGGTCTCTCATTATGTCTAATTACAACAGGCTTCTCACCTTGCTCAGTTTAGTTTTGTGGAATTTTGTTTGTCATTGTTTATGGCACTTAAGCGGCTTGTTAAAAAGGCCTCAGGGATTCAATGGCAGTTAGAGACACAGGAATGAGTGGCCAGGGAACACACACACACACACACACACACACACACAAGCACACCCCTCAGATCACCACAGCCCATCTGGTCTTGGAGCATAATTCTAATAAGTAGAACAGCCAATTCTCCACCTCTGAAAATCTGTACAGGCTTCAGAATAAATCCAGCTGATTTCCAAACCTATTTATTCATTGTTAGATTGTTTGGGGCAATTTTTTCCTTGAAGACTCTAGCCATTAAAATGTTTCAATTAAAAAAAAATCAATAAAATATATTTTAAAAAAATAAAATAAATAAAATGTTTCAATTATTTTCCTAAAAACTGTATAAAGGCCCAGCTGGTGTGACTCTGTGGTTAAGCATCGGCCTTTGAACCATGAAGACCGGGTTCGATTCCTGATCAGGGCATGTGCCTTGGTGTGGGGCGTGCAGGAGGCAGCTGATTGATGATTCTCTCTCATCACTGATGTTTCTGTTTCTCTACCTTTCCCTTCCTCTCTGAAATCAATAAAAATATATTTTAAAAAACTATGTAAAGAAGTTTTCATTTTGCTTTTTTGGAAGGATAGCTTGAAAAGATAACAGTTCAGCAGCATGTGCTGTGGGGTCCTCAGACAGTACCCACTGTGCACTGAAGGGCGAAAACAGCTTACAAGAAAAGGGAAGTGAGCTTCTCATGTCAACAACACCTGTGGGAAAATATAAGGCTGAAAAATAAGGGAAACTAAAGGTTTACACAAATACTTTGAAAAGTATCTTTATATATAAAAGCCTAAGCAAGTAGATGACCAGACAACTCAATGACTGGTTGCTATGACCTGCACTGACCACCAGGGGACAGACACTCAATGCAAGAGCTGCCCCCTGGTGGTTAGTGCACTCCCACAGTGGGAGAGCTGCTCAGCTGACCGATGGGCACCAGACACAGGGCTCATGGCTGGTGAGCACCACTGCAGTGGCACTAGCCTCTCCCAACTTGGACTGACGGGGTGCCAGCCTGCAGCAGGCTCAGCGGGGCCAGATGACCAGGAGTGGCAGGCAGGAGTGGCAGGCGGTGTTGGACTGCTGGTTTCCATCCAATCCCTGCAGACCAAGCCGAGGGACCCCACTGGTGCACAAATCTGTGGAGTTTCTTTAATAATAAAACTAGTCCAAGGCTAAAAACTCTAAAATATTTATTTAAGATGGTCTTGACCTGGAATACAATGGATAGGAAATATAGGATGACTGAGCATTCAAGAGTACAATTCTTTTATACAGTGGACATTTAAAGAAAAACAATAGCCCTCGCTGGTTTGGCCCAATGAATAGAGCATAGGCCTGAGGATTGAAGGGTCCTGGGTTCGATTCCAGACGGGGGCACATGCCCGGGTTGCAGGCTTGATCCCCGGTAAGGGGCGTGCAGGAGGCAGCAGATCAATGATTTTCTCTCATCATTAATGTTTCTCTCTCTCTCTCCCACTCCCTTCCTTTCTGAAATCAATAAAAATATACATGAAAAAAGGAGAGAAACAATAATGCTAAATAGATTATAAATAAAACAAAGATTTTAAAAAATGATTTTGAATGCAAATTCATTTCACGGTAGAGAATTTTAAAAGGACTTTTAAAAATTATTGCTAACTTGCCGAAGCTCGTTTGGCTCAGTGATAGAGCGTCAGTCTGCGGACTGAAAGATCCCAGGTTCGATTCCAGGCAAGGGCATGTACCTTGGTTGCGGGCACATCCCCAGGTGTGCAAGGGGCAGCTGGTCGATGTTTCTCTCTCATCAACGTTTCTAGCTCTCTATCTCTCTCCCTTCCTCTCTGTAAAAAAATCAATAAAATATATTAAAAAAAAATATTGCAAACTTATTTTGGGGCAAAGGATTTTTACATTTAGATCCATTTTCACACTTGCTTCCTATCCTTGCTACCTAAAGGACTTAAGACTTGCATTTCATTATCAGTAAAACTCTTTTGTCCCTCCTGTACCAAATGACCAGACTTCCTCCTTGGTAGGCAGAAGTTAAAACATAAAATACAACACAAACCTTTGTAGGAACCTATATGCTTAAGTAGGAATGTAAAAACTCATTGTTGCTGACACCGATTTGGCTCAGTGGATAGAACGTCGGCCTGCAGACTCAAGGATCCCAGGTTCGATTCCAGTCAAGGGCATGTACCTTGGTTGCAGGCACATCCCCAGTAGGGGGTGTGCAAGAGGCAGCTGATCTATGACTCTCTCATCGATGTTTCTAACTCTACTCTGTATCTCTCTCCCTTCCTCTCTGTAAAAAATCAATAAAATATATTTTTTAAAAAAGAAAAGAAAAAGAAACATGGATCAGAGAGAAACAGATCAGCTGCTTCCTGCACACCCTCCACCTCCACCTGGATGTGCCCGCAACCAAGGTACATGCTCTTGACTGGAATCGAACCTGGGACCTTCCAGTCCGCAGACCGACGCTCTATCAACTGAGCCAAACCGGTTTCGGCAATATTTTTACTTTTCATATCAGGGGCTTTCACTTACATAAAAAAGATAAAAAATCAGACTTTATATAAGTGGACGCTGAACGGGAATGGCTGGGACCACAAGCGTTGTACAGGGGGCGAATGTGCTGTCCGCTGGCCCCCAGAAGCTTCGCTTTGCTTGCTTTTTATAATTGCGTTAGACACATAACATAAAACACACTCTCCTCGTGTTATTTTAGGCGCACAGGGCTCCAAGCGCGGTCAGGGTTGGGCCCCTCTTCCTCGCCTCCCTTTGTTGTCATTCTCTGGCTCGCCAGTAGGGGGCGGCCCCAGCCAGCGCACCGGCCGCGCTCCCGGAGGCACGGCCCACGCATGCGCGCCTCACCTGCGGGAAGGTGGGCGGGGCGGGGCCGGGGGCGGCGGCGCGCAGGCGCGGCCGGCCATTGTGACGTCAGGCGGGCGGCGGGCGGCGTCTCCCCGGGCGCTTCCCACAGGGACCGACTGCCCTCCGGGCCCTCCCTGCCCGCCCGCCGCCTCCCGCCGCCTCCCGCCGCCTCCCTCGCCCTCAGCGCGCCGAGCGCGGCCAGCGGCCGGGCGGAGGCCGGGGCCCGCGGGCCTGTCGGAGGGCGGCGGGCTGAGGCGCCGGGGCTCGGGCGCGCGGCGGGCCGGCGGCGGGCGCGGGGCTATATGGCGGCGGCGCTGTCGGGCCTGGCTGTCCGCCTCTCGCGCTCGGCCGCCGCCCGCTCCTACGGGGTCTTCTGCAAGGGCCTGACCCGCACGCTGCTCATCTTCTTCGACCTGGCCTGGCGGCTGCGCATCAACTTCCCCTACCTCTACATCGTGGCCTCCATGATGCTCAACGTGCGCCTGCAGGTGGGTGCGCCGCGCCGCCGCCTCCCTTCCCCGGCCGCCCCCTCCCCGGCCTCCCCGGCCTCCCTTCCCCGGCCGCCCCGCGCCCGCCGCCCCCTCCCCGGCCTCCCCGGCCTCCCTTCCCCGGCCGCCCCGCGCCCGCCGCCCCCTCCCCGGCCTCCCCGGCCTCCCTTCTCCGGCCGCCCCGCGCCCGCCGCCCCCTCCCCGGCCTCCCCAGCCTCCCTTCCCCTCCGCGGCCTCCCCGTCCCCGGTCCCCAGCCTCCCCGCGCCCCGCCTCCCCCTCCCCGGCCTCCCCGCGCCCGCCGGCCCGCCCCCCTCGCCGGGGCCACAGGGATGCTGCGGGCCTGGATGCTGAGTGTTTGTCGGGCTCCGAGCATTTATTTCTCTGCAGCCCCGGCTGCGGGAATGGTCACCCCCGATCTGCGCACACGGCCGGGGGCGGGGAGGGGGCGGCTGGGCGCTCGCCGGGGCTCAGGGCCTGCCGCCGGGGCGGGTCCGCGGAGGGGCGGGGGCGGGGGCGGGGTGGGGATGCTGCGGGGAAGGCCTGGCCCTGAAGAGGACATTTTGCCCGAAAAGTGACACATTTGGTTTGGGGGGAAGGGGTGCGGCGGGGGGCTGGAATGGTGGGTTGTTGTAGTTCCCAACCTTAAGAAGCCTCGGAGAAAAATTACCCTTGAAACTGAACCCGGGTGAATGAATGTTACCGAATGTTCTGGTAGATGCATCTCATTGACCCTGGCCGGAGGTGGGAGGGGGGTGAGGGTGAGGATGAGGGAGAAGGAGGTGGAGGAGGTGGAGACACGGAAGGTCCAGAGGCCAGCAGCAGGTCATATGTGAGCCCGCGGAGGGACACACACACACACACAAACACACACACACACACACACACACACACACACACACGGCACCCCGGAGACCACCGTGTTAGAAATGACATCTCTACATCCTTGAATTACAGGCGCCTTTTAATCTAGCGGAACAAAAAGTCGTCAGGTTGAGAATGATTTCTGCCTAAGTGTGTTGTCATACTGACTGTGAAAGGAAACTTAGTACACGATGTTGAGAATTAGTTTTGTGCCATTAAAAAGTCACCGTTCTCTTTGTGCACGGCCTGCCTCGGCCAGGCCACCGTGGCCACTCGCCTGGCCCACCACGCGGCCCCCCGTCTGCGTTCCCGCAGGTGGGAGGCATGTCCTTCGTCACAGAAACAGAACCAGCACAGAACTCCGCATTGCACACGGAACGCACACCTGACTTCTCTTCCTCTTTTTGGACAGCCTCCTAGCTTGTTTGTGGCTTCCTGTTCTTTTGCACACTTCCCGACCTGCCGATCTACCGTCTGTCTGCCTGCACCAAGCCCAGGACGTGCAGTTTTTAAAAATATGTTTTATTGATTTTTTACAGAGAGGAAGGGAGAGGGACAGAGAGTTAGAAACATCGATGAGAGAGAAACATCGATCAGCTGCCTCCTGCACACCCCCCGGGGTTGTGCCCTCAACCAAGGTACATGCCCTTTACTGGGATCGAACCCGGGACCTTTCAGTTCGCAGGCCGGCGCTCTATCCACTGAGCCACGCCGGTCAGGGCCATTTGCAGTTTTGGGCCGCCTTGCGTGCTCTCCCCCGGCTTTGGGCGCTGGGGCCTCTCCCCCTCAGCTTTCCTCTCGGAGAGGACCTGTGTGGTCACCAGCCCTATGGACGTGATCTCTCCATGGCGGGAGCGCCCCAGGCTTGTTTGTTTGCGTGCGATAAGGAATTAAGGGATCCGGATCTCCCACTGTTTGTAAGGCAGTGAAATACCCGGCAAAGGTTATTCCAGTACAGATTTCATAACGAGGAACCTACATGCTGATGGTTGAGGGGGAGTGCATTTCGAAGGAGGGGGCGGCTCTGCCCCAGCTGGACAGTCAGGAGAGCTGGGCGCACCGGTCCCCGAGCCCATCGCAGTCGCTTGGTGGACTTGATGTCACGTGACAGCCCAGGTGCAGCACAGCTCTAGTGCATCATGGGAGCTGAATGCTCTGCGAGGCCACTGGGGGCCCTTGCAGTGGGGGCGAGGGGCACACAGGTGGTCCCCGGGACCTCGGAAGGGCTCAGAACAGCGTGGGCTGTTAGGTTTGCTGCGGCCATGCCACATGCTGAGGGGACGGAGGGAGCGGGTCTCTTTCACTGTAATGGTCACATCTGCTACTTTAATTCCCCTGCAGGCTGAGGGGTTCTGTTCGTTTGTGGAAAATCACTAAGGGACCTGAGCTGAGGGTTTAAGTGTTGGGCCTCTGCTAAAGGGAAGTGCAGCGGAAAATAGGATCTGAGTAAAGGGGTCAGCCTGGCTCACCGCTGTCCTTTCACTCAGAGCCCCGTCCTCGTCCCCTCCATCCCCGTCCCCTCTGTTCCCCGGGCGCGCTGGAATCTGCTTTGCAAGAAGGAATGAAGGACTCCATCCCCCAGGTTTACTCAGAACTCCTGTGGAGGGCAGGGCACATTTTAAGGAGGTTGCCATCTCTTTACTGTGAAAGATGATTAAATGAGAAAACAGCTGCAAAAGGTTTATAAACCGAGAAGGGTTATGATCTTAAAGTGCTGTGTGTAAGCAAGCCTTAATCAAGAGCCATTAGCATCCTCCTTATGTGTACAGAATCTGAAATTCGTGGCAGTAAAACCTGAGAATTCCTACGAATTGAGAGAGTGGTCAGAGCAAGGTAGGAAACTGCGCTGAGAACTATTGTAATTGATAAGCCCTGTGGACACCTCAGTTACGTGGCTGTGGGAAGAATCAGGTGTCTCAGCCCAGCTCACCCAGATTCCTATAACTGCTAAGAGGGAGGGAATTAAAAAAAAGAGCCAAAACCGGTTTGGCTCAGTGGATAGAGCGTTGGCCTGCGGACTGAAAGGTCCCAGGTTCGATTCCAGTCAAGGGCATGTACCTTGGTTGTGGGCACATCCCCAGTAGGGGGTTTGCAGGAGGCAGCTGGTCGATGTTTCTCTCTCATTGATGTTTCTAGCTCTCTATCCTTCTCCCTTCCTCTCTGTAAAAAAATCAATAAAATATATTTTTTGGGAAAAAAGAGCAGTTGGCGAGCAGAAGGCATGAGCAGGTTGATGATAGCCGTCAGACTGCCTTGTCAAGTGCCCTTGTGTTCCTGCGATGCCACCCTGCCCTGTGCTGACCAGGCCTGAGCACCTCCCTTTGCCCTCCCTCTTCTCATTCCGTTTCTAGCTGCTCTGCATAGTCTTCTCTTTCTGAATGCCTGTCTAAATCCGTAGCTCCATAAGCTCCAATGTTCACCTCTCACCTGAAAACCCCATCCATTCATTCCAGCCAGGAAGAGAGTTCAGGAAGGCAGATAGGGCTGGGGAAGCAGTTCGTGGGGACCTCACTGAGAAGATGGCCTTTGAGCAAAACTTGGAAGGAGGTGAGGGCTTCAGCCTTAGGAACTCTGGTCAGAAGAGGGCTGCGCTTTGCACAGAGAAGGCCCTGTAGCTGGCGGGCCAGAGGGAAGCTGGTCATTGAGGAACAAGGTGGCAGGAGCCCGCAGGGCGTGGCTCAGTGGTTTAGTGTCAACATAGGAACCAGGAGGTCAGAGTTGGAATTCCAGTCAGGGCACAGGCCTGGGGTGCAGGTTCAGTCTCCAGTAGCGGGTGTGCAGGAGGCAGCTGATCAATGTTGTTTCTCTCTCTCTCCCTCTTCCTTTCTCTCTGAGATGAATACAAATACGTTTTTTAAAAAAGAAGGTGGCAGGAGATCAGACTGAAGTTGAGGGGAAGCTCACGTGGTGTCTTAGAGGCACTGAAAGTACTTGGCCTTCCACTCTGTAAAATGACCTCAGGACAACACCTTCAAAAATTAGTAAAGACTCCAAAACCCTAGTCCCAGGGTCAGGGCAGTTTGACATGAATTTTATTCTGTTGCTTTATTTACATCAGGTTTCTAGAAGGGGGAGGGGGGAATTATAGACGATTAAGAAAACATTATAAAAGCTTATAAGCTTTGCAGAAGATGCTTAATGGACCAAGTGAAAAGCAGGAGTTCAGTTATACATGGTTTGTTCTGGCTTCTGAGGTAGTCAGCAATTATATACTTGGGGATGTAAATACCAAACAGGAAGCATAGAAGTACTATGGGATCTTTTCTGTCAACTGAATGGTTAATCATAAACTGAAACACTTTCAACCTGGTAAGATCTGAAAGAGGGCTACAGTGAACACCTGTGTCCTTGTCTCAAGTTTATTTTTTAAATGTATCTTTATTGATTTCAGAGAGGAAGAAAGTGGGAGAGAGAGAGAAACATCAATGATGAGGAAGAATCATTGATCGGCTTTCACCTGTGCGCCCCACACTGGGGACTGAGCCTGCAACCAGGCATGTGCCCTGACCAGGAATCGAACCCTGACCTCCTGGTTCATAGGTAGACGTTCAACCACTGAGCCACGCCAGCTGGACTAATTTGTGTGTGTGTGTGTTTTTAAACTGATTTTAGAAAGAGAGAAACATAAATTTGTTGTTCAACTTATTACACATTTATTGGTTGATTCTTATATGTGCCATGACCGGGAATCGAACCCACAACTTCGGTGTGCTGGGACAACACTAATCAACTGAGCTACCCGGTCAGGGCAGGTTTTTAAAGTCTTACAAGTGCAGGCTGATATTAAATTATGAGTTAGATCGATACGTGCTATGTTAAAACGTATCCACCACATGTAAGTAAAGAAAAGCACGTGTAGCCAGCCAGTGTGGTCCAGTGGCTGAACATCTACTTATGAACCCTCTTCCTTTCTTAAATCAATAATAAAAAAAAGTTATATATATATAATTTTTAAAGAAAAGCAAAACAAGTTTAAAGCTCTTATTTTTTTCATATTAAGAAAATAAAATGAAGGTGGGCCCTAACCTTATATCTTACATAAAAATTTACTCAAAATGGATTAAAGACCTAATCTTAAGAACCAAAACTAAAACTGAGAAACCACAGGGGAAAATCATGATATTGACTTTGGCAGTGA